TGCCTGAAATAATGCATGGCAGGGCACCTAGGGTCTTCCTCAACCAGTAAAGCTGGAAAGTGGGCCATATGACCGTACACTGTTTTGATGTGATGTTAAACCCAACCAAAAAAAAAAAAAAAAAATAGATAACATTACAATAATCTTATCATCGGCTACCAAGTAAGCTAATCTAGTGACATCCTGGATTATGCTTTTCGTTTCAAGGTGGACAATTTTCGAAAATGATAAGGGTTATATGTTAAAGGTTAAAAAGCTAAAATTAACCATTTTGGATACAGGATTGCTAAACATTACGTTTAATGTTACCATCGTAAAAGTAGGTTGGAGGATGTATATTAGTTACTATATTCCGAAGTGAATTTTAGTTTCGTTACCAAGAAATTGTCGAGTGTCCCCGAGTGTCCTTGTAGTGTTTCAAATGTAATCTTCATTTACATCTCATTATAAAAATGATATTTATTATCTTGTAATTGAGATTGTAAAATGATAAAAAGGGGTAGCTTTTCTTTGTTTTTTTGTGATTTTATCTGATACAATAACTTTTAGTTTGCGTGATTTTTTTTCTTAGAAGAGCCAAATTTCGTAACAAGTAGCCTACTCTACAATGATCCCCAGTCTGTCTGTCTTTAGTCCAGTTTCCTGTTTTTGAGACAATTTGTACAAATACTTGTCAAGCAGCAAAGCTTTTTTTATATCTAGAAACAAAAATAAAAATTTGAATAGTTATTATGCATACAAAAAATGATAAAGTGTGTTTAATCTTTGCAATACCCAAAATTATCAATCGGACAATTTACTCATTTGGTGGATCATTGACGTATGTTGGTTTAACATTGAGGTATGCCAGTTGAATCCAAATTTGGTAATTGACTTTTCCAAAAATAGACACTGGGTAAGGTTTAATAAGTTAATCCAGATGCAAATAAAAATGAGCCGCGTAACGACAAAACCAACGTAATGCGTTTGCCACCAGCATGGATCCAGACTAGCCTGCGCATCCACGCAGTCTGATCAGGATCCATGCTGTTCGCTTACCAACTCTATTACAAGTAGAGAAACTGATAGCGAACAGCATGGATCCTGATCAGACTGCGTGGATGCACAGGCTGGTCTGGATCCATGCTGGTCGCAAACCCATTACGTTGGTTTTGTTGTGATGCGGCTTAAATAACTTTAAGAATAATATTAAAATGCTGTACGTTCATTATAACAAGTACCAATTTAAAATCTCTCCTATTGTATTTGTAGGGGACAATTTTTCATTACTTTGCATTTAAGATTTTCTGATGCCAATTCTCTCATTTGCACCAGATTCCTCAAATTCAATTTTTTTATAAAATTTTACAGCAATTCTAACTGCTACATAATGACAAAACATTCACAAAAGCTGATTATTTTTTAGCAGTTTTAAATTTGACAAACCATTGTGAAAAAAAATGATGAAAACTCAAATGTAAAACAAGTCATTTCTATGTAAATTTCTTCAAAATTTCCAGAAAAGCAGAAAACCAGTCTGATATTTATTGAAAAGTGTCCAAGTTGGATGAGAAGCAGACGGCCACCATCCCACACATGAGTTGCCATTCTGTGTGGTTGCAGGTTGCCTGATAATTGCATCAGGTTTAATAATGATTGGATGATAGATAGGTGCTGATACAGACTGGTTTGGTTCACTTACTTCATTAATGGTGGAATGTTCATTCATAAGGTACTGAACCAGTCTACACTCTTAAAACAGAAGATTTGATAGGAAGTTAATGTATACTTAAAGACATTGTGGTTATGCTGTTTGGCACAAACAACAATAAGACCTGTTTTCATTTGAACAAAGTATTACAAGTTATGTATACTTTAGCACTTTGTTTACAGACTTAGGAACTTACTTTTATTCCTTTATCTTTCCTTAAGAGTGAAATCCTATTTTGCTTTTCCTATTAATTTTTACAAAATTGTATTTTGCTGTTCCAATTTTTCTTTGGCTTGTTTTGCTCATCCAGTTTTCTTTTGAAATATTTTAAGACCTTTTCAAAGATCATTTGCCACTCATTCCTTAATGATAATGTTTATGGATATGTTTTGCTTGCTCTTTCATTTTTCCAGAATCATGCTTTGCTCTTTCATATTCCATTGCCATGTTGTCCATAAGCAATGTTCCTTAAGTGTGTTTTGCTTTTGCTCTTTTAAGCCATTTTCATGTTTTGCTCTTTCATATTCCATTGCCATGTTAGTCATAAGCAATGTTCCTTAAATGTGTTTTGCTTGCCATTTTCATGTTTTGCTCTTTCATGCCATTTTCATGTTTTGCTCTTTCATGCCATTTTCATGTTTTGCTCTTTCATATTCCATTCCATTGCCATGTTGGCCATAAGCAATGTTCCGTAAGTGTGTTTTGCTTTTGCTCTTTCATGCCATTTTCATGTTTTGCTCTTTCACGCCATTTTCATGTTTTGCTCTTTCATGCCATTTTCATGTTTTGCTCTTTCATGCCATTTTCATGTTTTGCTCTTTCATATTCCATTCCATTGCCATGTTGGCCATAAGCAATGTTCCGTAAGTGTGTTTTGCTTTTGCTCTTTCATGCCATTTTCATGTTTTGCTCTTTCATATTCCATTGCCATGTTGGTCATAAGCAATGTTCTAAGCAATTGTGTTTTGTTTTATCATTTATTGCTATTTCATATTCCATTACCATGATTTGCTCAGTCAATGTTGCTTTGTCATGTTTTGTTCCTTTATTAACTTTGTCATGTTTTGTTTATCTAGTCAGTTATGTTCCTTTGTTGTGTGTCATGTTTTAATCTTTCATGTTCATGTTTTGCTCTTTCATGTTCCTTTGTCATGTTTTGCTTCTAGGTGTTCTCTTACCTGTTACATTTTTGTCATGTTTTCACAGAGGAAAATTATCAAATACTTATGACATTTTCAGACACATATTTGCCACTCTCGATTTTACACCAGGGCTTTGTCTGTTGACCATCTTTGTGACTGTCATGTTGGTCCAGGTTTCTGTCAAGTAAAATAAAGACCCTTAACCATTCTTAGTATAATTATCTAAGCTACTAGATTGATAATAAAACTCATAACATAAAACTGTGTTTATTACAGACATCTTTAAAACATGGAAATGTGTTTTACCTCATTCTTACATGAAGTTTTTATGGCAGGCTCAGTGTTCACTGGTCTCTCAGATAAATTAAATACTTGCTTCCTGGGCTTTATCATTTTTATTGTTCTTTTTAAATTGAATTATAGATAGTTCTCACAGGAAGGTAAGGCCCTCCATCTTCAAATTTCTGAACTGTTGCTTACTTAAACTTAGAAAATGTATGATCTGTTGTATTGTTTTGATTATTCAGTCAAATTTAGAAAGAGAGTTGAATTGAATGATGATAGTTAATTATTTTTTATTATGTTAAATTTTTTGTGTTGCTTACATAATTATTTTTATTATGTAGAATATTTATGTCATTCAGATAAAAAAAATTATGTAGAATATTAAAGAAATTTATGTAGAATATTTGTGTCATTTAGATAATTATTTTCTCATATAAAATGTAAATGTAAGAAACTGAATTTTTAAAAAGTTTACTTGGATATGACCAGAAAAGATGGTCTCTTAAGGAAGGTTAATTGTCTCATTAAATTGCAAGATAAAAATGCCAAAATTGGTAAGGTGGTATTCTTATACAGATGGTTTAGTTTTTAAATTTATTAAATGACAAAGAACAATATTTAATATTAAATTATAATTAAAGAACATTACATGTATTTAGTATCAAATTATAATAAAGAATACATTTTATTACAAAATTTAAATTAATATTTTATAATAGTTCTAAAAAACAATATCTAGATAATTGAACATTATTCACTACATGCTAAGTGTCCTTTCAGGTATAAGTGGCATTATCTATTAAACTGAAAACCGATTTTTTTCAATTTGACTTTATCTCCATTTATCAAATTTTAACCTGAAAACTAAACTTTTCTGTGATATTCTCCTCAAAGTTAAAGAATGTAAATCCATGAAACAGAGCACTGTATTATTATGTATTGCAAAAATCTTCCCATCATATTTTTTTTTCTGTCCCCTATTTGACAAGACAGACATATTTATCAATCAGAGACTGATGTTTAATGACCAAATGAGCCGTGTCATGACAAAACCAACATAATGGGTTTGTGACCAGCATGGATCCAGACCAGCCTGCGCATCTGCGCAGTCTGATCAGGATCCATGCTGTTCGCTTATCAACTCTATTACAAGTGGAGAAACTGACAGCGAACAGCATGGATCCTGATCAGACTGCGCGGATGCGCAGGCTGGTCTGGATCCATGCTGGTCGCAAACCCATTATGTTGGTTTTGTCATGACACGGCTCAAATTATGATCGAATCTCCATGTTAATTATCATCCAATATGACTGACTCCCACAGTCTTTAATCAGTGATATATGCTTGAACTTACTCACCTATCTTATATCTAGTAAAGTACAAGCCTAGGCACTCGCACTGTGCATGACCACCACCGCTAATATAGATACCATAATTTGTTGTCCACTAATTATCAGAAATTGTGACATTAATTGGTCAACAACAGATTAACGACCTTTCTGAATCAAATAATTGTATATATATATACATGTATATATCATGTGATTATGTGAAGAAGAAAAAAAGGTTTTATGCAATGCTTTTGATATGAAAAAAAGGGATTATTTAATCTGGTAATTAAGATAACAATTAAAATTATTGATGCTATAAGTAATAATCATTATTGTCATAAAAATCAGCATCTTCTTCATCACCATTATTATTGTTATCATTATCTTTAACATTATGTCACTATTATCATCAGTGAGATTCTATCTTCACCATTTAATATTATTGTCAAAGAATTTATTTAGATAATAATGTTAAAAGATGTAGTTGTTATTTATTTATTGTTGATGATAATGAAGATCATTACAGATATTCATAATGACAATGATGATCAGGTGATGATTATGATGATGGTGGTAGTAGTTTTGGTGGTGATGATAATGATGATGATGATAATGAAGATGGTGGTGTTAGTGAGGATGATGATTAGTGGTGGTGTTGGTGATGATGATGATGATGACAATGATGATGATAATAATGATAATGATGATAATAATGATGATAATGATGATGATGATAATGATGATGATGACAATGATGATGATGATAATAATGATGATGATGAAGATAATGATGATAATAATGATGATGATAATGATGATGATGACAATGATAATGATGATGATAATAATGATGATTATAATAATGATGGTGATGATTATAACAATTACTGTTTTCTTTCTTGTTTCTGTTTAAAAACTGTCAACAATTGACTTTTTTTCATTCATCACAAATTCCTTTTACTTTTCAAAATCATGCAACAATATATTTTTTGTACTTAAAATTATCTATCAACTGACCACATTCATATAATTGTTTGTATGAAGGACATTAGCCTATCCATTTAATTTTTCCATTTAAAACATAAATTATCACTGACTCTGAGGTTACACATAAAACTTCATTTAAAAATGTCAATCATTTTGATGTATGAATTTTGTGGTCAGTCAAATTTTTATGAAATTTTTATGTATTTTTAAGAGAGGAAAGAAAAACCAAATTAATGCAATGTCCATACAGTAATGTGTTCTTTATTTGTATGTATATTAAATGCCATATTTGAAGTCATTTATAGTTAACATTGGTAAATGTTAATGTAGGGTGAAATTTAATACAAAATTCCTGGAGCTAATGATGAATAGTGGAGAATGTAAACTGTCAAATTATAGCCAATAAATTGTAAATTAATTAATTAAACTATGTAGGTCCTCCTCATAAAAATAAAAAAACACAAAAGAATGTAAGTCCTCCAATTTGCCCCTGCTTTCATCAATCTATCAAAATGGCTCAAGTATCAACAAATTTATTTTAAATTTCTGGTCTGGTTCCCTGTCTCAAAATTTGTGTTAACTCAGCCTCTTGCTCTCAAACAAAAGGAACCATACTCTCAGACAAATTCTCTTGATATAAAATCTATTATGGAGCACCAAAGTAGCTATTATGCATAGTATCATAAGAGAGCAATTGACAGCAGTAGCTTTCCATATTATATCATATTTCTTGAAGATTCTTTTACCATACTGAGTATTTGAATTCCTTATGGAAGCATTCAACCATTTTTTTCAACTTGAATGTTGGCAGGGGGAAGGAAGAGACTGCTGTGAATAGCCAATGTTCTTCTGAGTATTGCCCACATGTAAAGAGCCAGTCAGGTCAACCTTCTTGTACATGCAGTCCGACTTTGACACAGTCTTGATATCTTTATATTTTAATACCTTAACCCTAGTACCACACTAAAAATCTATCAGTTTGGACATGATGTATTCTTGATGTGAGTACTTCAGGGTTTTTTATGGTCTGGTATGTATTTATATTGGTAGAGGATGCTGTTGTGTATCCCTGTTGTATTGCCAGTCCAATCCTTGGGTGCATGAGCCAAGAGTTTTTCTTGACATTTAATCTTGGACATTAAGTCTAAAATTGTCATTTGTCTCTCACCTCTGATAAAAAAAAATCATGTGGAATTACCGGTAGTTGAAGGTCACTTGTAGAGAAATTGGTAAGTTCTCACAGGTTAGTTATCCAGGAAAGCAGGTTGGGTTGACTGATTGCCAAGATTTGACCATAACTTGTGTTGAAATTAGCATTAAAACAAACGTACAAACAAACACTGTCCCTCTTGTTATAATTTATACATTCAACTTTAATCACATATCCTCTTTTGACATAGTAAACATATAGAAGTTACTTTGGCTTTATTTTCTTGTATAGTAAATATTTCAATCTTTGTTGTGATTTAGTTTAGGCTATTGAAGTTCAAGTGTTGATGGATTCGGCCAGTTCATTGTTTATATGATGGTGACTCAAGTTGCATAAAATTAGACACTCAGAGTTCCGTTCGCAGCGAACTCGTCTTTAACAAACCCCGTGTTGTTTCCAACAGCTATAAGGGTCTCTCGATACGATTTTTTTTATAGAAAAGTAAACATCTTTTTTGACATTAAAATATTTGCAGTTTCTGATGATTTTTATCTAAATTTTTTTTTTTTGTTAAAAGTTCAACAGTTTTGCAGTACAATTATAAACAACATCTTTCAAGTGTCTAATTGTGTACAACGACAACTGTTCAATTTATAAAGAAATATCTAAATCTTTCAAATTCAAATATGTTGAAGGTCCTTGAGCACAGTCTAGATGGCTGAGTTATTTAAATACCAACAGATTATCTTTAGTGAAATAACCGAAATTTTCATAAAACCGAAAGTTTAAAAAGACAGGATGTGGCATATTGACTTTAACGACAAAAAAACTCTTTAAGTGTTCGAAGGTGATCTTATATGGGCGGTAAGGTCTACTGTACATTTGCTGAATGTGCACATTCCTTTATATGAACCGAACGCGAGGATGAGATTAGCTAAATCTCTCTCGGTCATGTACGTATTCCTTTTTAGATGATAATCTAGATGTATTTCGTGTATAAACTATTAAATACCAGTTTGTATATTCATTGTAATCAAAGAATTCTAGTTATTATATCATTCAAAAAACAAAATTTAATGTATCATTTTCCGAAATTAAAAAAGGCGAAAATTTTTATGTAATTTGATCCTTCTAAAGTAAATATTAAGAATTGCATGATATTTTTGTTTAAATAACATTTTTCTGAATCTTGGTGTAAAGAAATTTTATACGTAACTGAGTTATTGCAATTACCTTCTTAAAAATATACATTTAGATCAGATGAGATTTGCATAAGGTTGATCTAGCCTGTCCGCAGAGTCTTTCAAAGTTTCCCTGCATAATCAGTGTCTTTTAACTAAACATATCCTGCTAATTTGCCTGCTAGAACAAAACATTAATCATACCTGAAGAAATGAGACAGTGCTGATTATAGAATTATTTGTCATAAAAGTGACATACTGTAAACAACAGAAGAAGTTTGACTTCCATTTGTTTACAAAATTCTAATAAGGAATTGCTAAAAAGCAAAAGATGGTTCAGGTTATTGGCCAATTGGTAACTTTTTTTGAAACTATAATAGGATACCAAAAATAAAAAGATTTTAGGAATATAAATTATGGGCCTTTAAGATAGTTAGCAAGGTAATTCTTCAGAAACTTGTACGGAATGTTACAATAAGTAAAATGAAACCATTGAAGTTTTGAAAAATTACAGAGATTTTGTGAGCCGAAATTTGACTGGCTTCAATGCATGCGTGGGAGGGCAGAGTAGTTTGACTGATATAGCTTCTGAAAATTTTGGTAATATTGCGGTTAACATGTTTATTGAATAGTGTGCGCTTCATGAATTTCCGCCTTGCTTTTGCGACAGCTGTTTAGTGTTCAAAATGATACAATGTATAAAGTTTGCAATATATCTTAATGACATATGATATAACATACAGAACACAACTTTTACAACAGGTGATTTCATATTCCGCGGACCTCCTCCTTAATATTCTGCATGCGTTTTGGTAATTAATGTAAATTTATTGAAATTTCTCATTGTTTTCGACAGTAACTTGAGACAGATGAAAGGGAAAATTTTGACATTTTAAGACGCTATATTGCATTCTTTATGTCCATATACTCATCAAAGGCTTGTGATGGAATTTGGTGTAATCAATTTCTTTTTTTTCTTCCGAGTTTTTTTTTTTTTTTTTTTTTTTAAATTTTTTTTAATATTCATTGTTTGACCTTCTAACTTTGTTTAAAAAAAATTGTTTTAGTGACATTATTGGTATTAACTGTAAGTTGTAATTCAAGTTCTACAATTCTTAAAAAATGCGGCGAGGCATTGCAGTTTTGTTGAAATTTCAATAGTAAAAGTAAAGGTTCATACCTAAGTGCTAAAGGAACTAAGCATGTAATTTTTAGAAAGAGTTTAACAATTTTAAGTTTTTGTTTCAAGTACAAAATGATGACTAAGAATTAAAAGATGAAATTAAACGAGGCAAATGCTTTTTTATAGGGTACGATTTTGGAAAATTATGAGGTGTTTTCTTCAGCATGTCAAGAATAGCAGTTGAACTAAGTTCATAAGCATATTTTACAGCAAAGAAAATTAAAGTGCTTAAATGTCCTGAATTTTTTGCTCTCTGACATCTTTTGGGAAATTAATCGTCGTAAAAATGTGCGAAATTTTTTTAGTAACCTTTCAGCACGTTTTTTTCTTTGTATTATTTTTTTTTTTAACCATCGCCATTATACTAAAGCAGCGGTCTTAATATATTGTTTTGTTTTTTTTTTCCCAAATATTCTTACTCATCCCTTGTTTGCGATTATATGACTTTAACGATAAAAATAATCATAAAATATCATAAATGTCCGGAGCGCACATTAAAATTATTTATTACGAGACCTGAACGCAACCTTTACAAATTATTCCTTTGTCACCAATGCTGACCTTTTTTTAGTCATTTCAGCTATTAAACTTGTAAAATTAATTTACTAGTATTATGTTAATGATCATCTTCCTTTTGAAAAAAATAAAAGGGAAAAGAAAAAAAATTATATTGAAAAGAATTTAGCTGCGTTGATTTACGAGGCATGGTAAAACGTTATTTTGCTGTTTCACTCAAAAGTGCTGATGCGTCAATGTATGTCAACATGACAGTTACTGTTTTCCCCGTTTATTTTTAAACTATCTATATGAATGAAGCAGCATGAGATATTTATTATGAATGAAATGTTTTCGTTAGATCACTATCATTTTAACTGCTGGATTTTAAACATCTTTTGTGGGGTTTCAATGTAGTGTACCTGATATAGTGTGTATTAAAATCACTCCCCTGCATACGCTACACTGATTATGACTGCAACACAAACTTGTTGTGAATAAAATTTTAATATGTCCCCATATTCACATGTATTCAAAAAATCAGGGAATTATGTTTCCGGGAATTATGTCATTATGTAATCTTAGCTTTTTCTGTTAAAAAAAGATAAAATTGCAATTAATTGTACAAAACTAAATGTCCCTGGAAATCAT